ACAGTGTTTCTTGCCTTACAGAACTTTAGTTTTATTTATTTATTTATTTATTTATTTATTTATTTATTTATTTTTAAAAGATTTTATTTATTTATTTGACAGACAGAGATCACAAGTAGGCAGAGAGGCAGGCAGAGAGGGGGGGGGGAAGCAGGCTCCCTACTGAGCAGAGAGCCCGATGCGGGCGCTTGATCCTAGGATCCTGAGATCATGACCTGAGCCGAAGGCAGAGGCTTAACCCACTGAGCCACCCAGGTGCCCCCAGAACTTTATTTTTAATGAAATAAAGTTTATCAACCTTTTTTTTTTTAATATTTTATTTATTTATTTGTCAGAGAGGAGAGAGAGCGAGAGCACACAAGCAGGCAGAGAGGCAGGCAGAGGCAGAGAGAGAAGCAGGCTCCCTGCTGAGCAAGGAGAGCCCATGCGGGACTCGATCTCAGGACCGTGGGACCTTGACCTGAGCTGAAGGCAGCCGCTTAACCCACTGAGCCACCCAAGCGTCCCTATCAACCTTTTTCTTTATAGATTCTGGGATTTGTGTCATAAGATTAAAAACCAATTTGGTTTTTAAAATTCTCTAGTGCTTTATTCTATCATTTAATGATTTCCTTAATGATTAAAATCCAAAGACTTTAATCTTTGATCCACCTGGAATTTCTGTTATAATAAAGTGTGGAAGTAGGTATCCAACTTTCTTTTTTGTTTCAAGATGGCTAACCTGTTATCTTAACAAGAGTTATTGAACAATCCATCTTTCCTTATTGATTTTAAATGCCACCATTATCATAAACAAAATTCCTGTAAGTACTTGTTTTTTTTCTTGGACTGTCTCTTTTATCTGTTTATAATATCACGGTTCCATAGAAATATCATGCCAGCCACAGATGCAAGCCAAATATAATTTAAAATATCCTGGTAGCTGCATGAAAAAAGTAAAAAAAAAAAAAAAAGATGAAATTATTTTTAATATGTTTTATTTAATCCCCTATAGCCATTGTATCACTTCAACAGGAAATCAATATATAAAAACAAATTTATATTCCTTTTCTAAATAAAGTCTTCAGTATGTGGTGCATATTTTATGTTTACAACACATCTCAGTTAGAACTAGCTGTATTTCAGGTATAATTAGCGATGTGTGGTTAGTGATTACCATATTAGAGAGCCGAAGTCAGTATTTTTGTCAAGCTCTGTGGCTGATTTAGTTCTATTTGGAAGGACTGGCCTTTGTAGGCTTGGGTCAGTGAAGCGTCTTCACTCAGTGGTTGCAACTTTCTAGCTCTGTGTGACTTTGAGCTTTGTTTGGCTTACTGATACGCAGTATTTTTGTGTTTAATATTCTTTAAATATTAATTTTGCAATTTTGGTTTGGGTTTTCTCTCTGACCAACAATTGTTTCAGAGATCTTTTTAAAAAAAAAATTTGAGATGGTAGAGTTTTAGAGTTTTAACTTTCAGTTTTCTGTTATTACTTCTTAGTGACACTGCATTATAAATAAAGTTATCTATGCTATACTTTTTGAAAATTATTGAAGTTTTCTTTGTAGCTTAGAATAGTCACTGTGATTATACCATTAACCTTTGTAAACAAGGAGTTACTTTTTAGAGTATAAATTGTTGATTGAGTAAACGTTAAAAATTTGAGCATCTGAAATAATTTAAATTTATAAAAATACAATATATATGTATGCGTGTGTGTGTGTGTGTGTGTGTGTGTGTTTACTTTGGGTGCCAGTGTAATATTTCATTTTAAAAATGAGATTCAGTGCCAAAAAAACATGTGAAGGCCTAGCCTACATGACCTCAAAGGTCACCTAGAATGTGTGAAATGTGAGGATAAATTTCTGAAGACCCCAGAGGGATCTGAGGAGAGATGATATCAAAGGGTACCTAAAGTATTCTTTTGTCTCACTTTCCATTCCTTTTTTTTTTTTTCCCCTCTCTACAAACACTAATAAAATACATCTAGATTACACAGACCCAGGCCAGGTGTTACACCAGTCTGTTATCAACAAGTGAGAGCACATCAAACAGTTTTTAACTGGTCTTAGGAAAAGCAAAGGTGAAATGAAAATTTAATTCTCCTGGACTTTGGTTCAAAATACATGTTTCCATCTGCATTGTAAGGAACAAAATTTAATTAGCTCAATTCTCACGGTTTGCCGATGCATTTGTAATCTTTGTTCACACTTTGGGAACAAAAACTTTGATGAAAGAAATTGGACAAATAATGGAAATCTTGTCTGAGCAGAACAAATTGCAATTATCAAATATGTTGGGGGATGATTGGCATGCTGCAGCTGGGGAGAGAAGAACAAAAATTCCTTTCCCTAACATGCCCCTGCCTAGCCTGGCACAGCCTTGTGCTGCACACACAGAAGCATTTCAGAGTGGAAAGGGCTTTGGTGTCAGGCAGACTGAGTTCGAATCCTACCTCTGACCCTTTCTGGCAGGTCACTTAGGTCCCCTGAACCTCAATCATTTCGTTTGCAAACAGGATAATGATATCCTCCTTCTAGCCTCATGAGGATGGAAAGAAATGAATTACGTGAAAATACCTGGCATGCAATAGGGGTTTAGGGAATAACAGCCAAAGGAGGGGGTCAAAGGATCTGTCTGGGGTGGATACTTGTGAGCTTCCCAGCTTGTTTTCTGTTGAGGAAAAGGAAGTGGGCAGAGCTGAAGTTGAGTACATATGCTGCTGCTGCTGGTGGGAAAGTTCTTTCTAGAGCTTCTCATTCTCTCTGCGATAGCAAACAGCCAGCACCTTTTGCAAAGCACTCCGTGGAGGACTCTGATGGGCAGTTAAGAAAGCCTCAAGAGACCACACATACCCCGTGTGTTTTGTGGGACAACTTTAAGGCCATGACAATCATGTAGCTAAGCCCAGTGCACTAATAAGGAAATGAGTTATGAATTTCCCAGCCAGCAAGTAGGTCAAATAGCACACGTGAAAAGGGTGGCTTGACAAAACATAGTATTGATGTAGCTGTGGAAGGGTGTCAGAGAAGGAGAAGAGAGAGTTCTCGGCTTTGGAGTTTGTAATTTAACGCAGAGAGCTCCAATAGACAAAATAACTATAACCAGGTATGATGTTCATTGTAAAGATCATTGGCCATAGAATCCCCCTTCTTTTTTTCCTAAACAGTGTCAAAATCAAATATTCCCTGAGGTTCTCAGACCATGTGTCCAGGTTTGGATTCAGAAAATACAATCCCTGTGTCTCTATGCAAATCATTCAGGATTCACTTCTATGGGCCTATGGTGATCCCAGAATCCCCTTCCTGTTAAGAGTGTGGATTAGGGTTTGATAGATCTGAGCTCATTTTCAGGCTCTTTGCTGACTTTTATGGTCTTGGGGAAGCACCTTTCCTCTGGACACCCAGTTTCTTCATCTTTAAAACAATCACATCAGAGGGTGGTTGCTGTGATATTTTAAAAACGGTTTTAGCACAGAGCCTCAGCTAGACCCTCAGGGTGGACACATAAAGGGGACCCATTTTCTTCCTTCAGGATGGTGGTTTTCCAACTGGGGTGATTTTGTTCCCCTAAATGGCATTTGGGATGCCTGGAGGCATTTTTGGGCATCACTGTTGGGAGGGCAGTGGGGGTCCTTGTAGGAGCTAACCACTCCACAGTGCATAGGACAGCCCCTACTGCTCCATCTCCATTATCTGTGATTTTGGAATTAGAAGCTGAAATAAGCCCATTAGAGGTTTTCCTCTCTCTGAGGGAGGGAAAATGGCCTGATCCTTAATGCCATTTTTATGCTATGTCCCCCTTGGGATGGCCTTGATGTCCTGGTCATAGCTTCCTGCGAAAGGACGCATCTCCCATCAGCGACAACCTGGACAAGTGTGCCATCTTATACATATACTTGTCCCCAGTTAAAGACTCCCCTTGTCTGCTGCGGGGAGAAGGGCCTGCGCCAGGGAGCGCAACCCGGAGGAAAGAGCTGCGCTCCTCCCCTGCCTCCCAGCAAGGCCGGCCAGAGCGGTCGGTAGAACAAGAGGCTTTGGAGAAAGGAAGGGCTTTCATGGGCCTGCAATTAGCTTGCCTGGGGCTGACTTCGTGAGGGAGCGCACAGCCCAGCGCTGCACTGGGAACACCCCGATTGCCGGAAGGCAGGGCACCGAGGAGGCGAGCAATTGCTGGCTTCCCCAGGGCGGCGGGGCCAACTGTCTGGCCGCGGAGACAGGCACCCAGGTCCAGCCGCCCCCAAGCTGACGTGGCACAGCATTTGAGGGGACAGCCGGGCAGGAGAGGGCAAGTTCGTCTTTGCCAGCCTCGGCCTTGGAGCGCATGCAACTCCAGCTTCCGCCGGGCCGCGACTCCCCGGAATGCGCGTGGGGGCTGGCGGTCACCGCTGGGGCGGCTGTGGCGGCGTGGGCGGCGGGACGACCCGTTGCCCGGTGCTCCCGAGCCAAGATTTGGTTTCGGGACCGTGCCGGCACGCTGAGTCAAATCCCGCGCCTGGGCTGGGTCAGCGCGGGGGCCGCCGAGCACAGCGAGCGGAGGTTAATGATTAATCTCGGACCACTGGGCCGCTAGCAGCTCCAGAGTTGGTGCTTCGGGAGGGTGGGTAGGGGCCCTCGAGCGGCACGCTGCGGGGACGGTGGCGGAGGGCTGCCCGGCAGGGCCCGCGGGGGACCGGGGAGGAGAAGGGCGGGCGCTAGGGGGTGGGGCCTCCTTGGAACCTCCTTCCTCCGCTCTCTCCCCGCCTCACTCATACACACACACACACACACACACACACACACACACACACACACTCCCCAAACTCCACCCTCAGGCGCCTCCCAGGCCCCTGCTAGGTTGGGCTACTCCAGGAAGTTTCCCTGAAAGCACCAGAAATACTAAGTTACTTTTTCCAGGTGATTAAGAGAACGCTCTGGGCCCTCGTTGGTGAGTTGCAGCCCAGAACTCCGGGCTCTGCTGGGAGGAGGAGGAAGGGAAGTCGAAGAGGTCTTCGGACTTGGTGGCCCGGTTTTAATCTTCATGGCTTCGCCCAGGGGCCCCAGCAGTGAGTGCTCCCATGTCATAGATCACACCCACGTCCCTGAGTTCGAGGTGGCCACCTGGATCAAAATCACCCTCGTCTTGGTGTACCTGGCCATCTTCGTGGTGGGCATTCTGGGGAACAGTGTCACCATTCGGGTCACGCAGGTGCTGCAGAAGAAAGGCTACTTGCAGAAGGAGGTGACGGATCACATGGTGAGCCTGGCTTGCTCGGACATCTTGGTCTTCCTCATTGGCATGCCCATGGAGTTCTACAGCATCATCTGGAACCCCCTGACAACGCCCAGCTATGCCCTGTCCTGTAAGATTCACACTTTCCTCTTCGAGGCCTGCAGCTACGCCACCCTGCTCCATGTGCTGACGCTCAGCTTTGAGCGCTATGTGGCCATCTGCCACCCCTTCAGGTACAAAGCTGTGTCGGGGCCCTGCCAGGTGAAGCTGCTGATTGGCTTTGTCTGGGTCACCTCCGCCCTGGTGGCGTTGCCTTTGCTTTTTGCCATGGGAACTGAGTACCCCCTGGTGAACGTGCCCAATCACCGGGGTCTGCCCTGCAACCGCTCCCAGACTCACCACCACCAGCGCCCGGAGACCTCCAACATGTCCATCTGTACCAACCTTTCCAGCCGCTGGACCGTCTTCCAGTCCAGCATCTTCAGCGCCTTCGTCATCTACCTCTTGGTCCTGGTCTCCGTGGTCTTCATGTGCTGGAACATGATGCAGGTGCTCATGAGGAGCGGCCAGGCTGGGGGGACCAGGAAGGGACAGCAGCCTCAGCTGAAGAAGTCGGAGAGCGAGGAGAGCAGGACAGCCAGGAGGCAGACCATCATCTTCCTGAGTGAGTCCTGGGTGGAGGGCGACCTGGGCGCTGGCTTCCCTCTCCCCAACCCGCCACTGCCTGTGCTCTTCAGAACCACAGGTGTGGTCTTAAATCTGTATACTTCCCTTTGCTGAGATTGAGGACGCATGGATCGGAACCTCTGAGTGTTTCTTTTGTATGTTTTGGGAACTTGGGATGCAGTGAAAAGAGCACTAGGCCAGGAGTCAGCGTCTGCGCGTATTCCAGAACAGCAGCTCTGTGACTCACAAAATATCTTGAGTCAAATGGAGTTAAACATACTGAGGGACAAAATAGGTAACGGGGAGAGGTGAAAGTCCTCTGAGAAGTTCCGTGGAGATAAAAGGGAGAGTTCTTCTCCAGCCCTCTTTACCCTGGAGAACCTTACCCAGGCAATTCGATTTTGTTCCCGTTTTTCTCCTCCTTGGGAGAAGCAAGCTGTCAGGAGCACACACTCTCCGGGCGGCAGCTACATTATCTTCCCCCTCACCCCCTCCAGTGACCTACCCAAGTCCTATGAAACTGGAGCTCTCAGACACGCTCCTCAGGATAGAGCTTGAGTTTCTGCTGTGGTGGTTTTGTTCCTTATCAGAACGGAGAAACATGGCAGGGACTGCCGGCCTGTTTGTCTGATCCTGGGACTTGATTGATCATCCAAAATACTCAATGCCGAGCTGAGAAAACTGTTTGTTTTCCAAACTTTTGTTGTGGTGCAAACATTTCAAGTCGGGTCCTTGCGCATGTCAGGGAGGAAGGAGCTCACGGTCCACAGGGCCCTTTCCAGTGTGGCATCAGGAAAAGGAATAAATCATGGTGCTGTTTGTTTTGGTGTGGGAAACTTGAGTAACAGGTTTCAGGGCCAGGGGGTTGACAGGAGAGAGAAATTCCAACGCACTTGACGAGGGATGGAAAGAGCCTGCCCCTGGGTTCTGCTATGTCCCTACAGTTGACTTAGACTTCCTGTGTCTGTGTGAAATGAGAGGAGAGGGTTTGCAATTTCTGGATGCCTACTTGGCATCAGAGGCTATAGTAGGTGGTTTATATTTCCATTTCAGAGAGGAGGAATTTGAGGCTTAGAGAAGAGAAGATCTAGTTCAAATAAGTACAGCTCCCACATTCTGACCTTCCTCCTCAGGGCCAGGAGAGGAGAGGCTCTGGGTGGTTCGCACAGGCTCATGTTGAACAGAAAATGAAACAAAACAGGACTTTGACAAGGAAGGTGATTAGATTGGTGGTGCTGCTGCCTCCTAGGGCCAGCTTTTGTGGAAGTTGGCTTTAAGGAGTCTGTAGCAGGTGTTGACATCCGTCCGGGGACTTGGGCAGGGCACCCAACCCAACTCACTCTCTCTCACCTACCTCCTGCTGCCCAGAGGAGTCCAGGAAGGAGTAGCTAGTAGATTGGCTTGAACATTCATGGAAAAGCTAGTTCTCTCTTCCCCCATATGCCCTTCAGCATATCTTAAACTTTTAGCAGTAATTTATACCTTAGTGTGAATTAATCCATCCTCTCTCCCCCTGCCCACCCCCCTTTTTTGAGTACAGTGTACTCTCTCCCACTCTAATTTAGGAATTAAGGTTTCATTTGACCAAGGAAAAATAATTGATTTATCTTTGTTCTCTGTTGGACCAATCTCTGTAGGTTTATTATTATTATTATTTCTCTGAAGAGTGGGTATTTTTTTTTATTTCCCCCACCCTCCTTGGGTATTATTCCAAGTTGCAGTCAGTCTTTATTTTGTAGCATCAAATTGGAATGCCACAGACTTTTACCTAGAAATGAATAGGACCTTGGGGATCATCTCATCCAGTTAGCAATTGCCTGGAATGAGTCTGTTCTCCCTGCTGCTCTCTCATTCTTTCCTTCTAGTTCTCTCCTTCTTTCTTATAACAACTATGTATTAATCGCCCACTGCTTTCCCAGGCATAAAGATTGTTGACTGGCAATCAGGTGCTCAATGTGCGATAATGTCTTGAGGGAATTTACCGTTTGTAAATTTCCTCTGCAGTAGATTTTCAAAGCAGTTCTTGCAAATGTCCCCCTCTCCCAATGAATTTCAAAGAGCTTTTAAAAATAGGAACCTCACTGATTAACTCAAGTTAGGAAATAAATTAATGGAGTGAAGAGGAAAAAATCATGGCCTGCTTCCTTCAGATTAATACAATGCAATTTACTTGGTGGGTTTCATAAAACTTGGGCTTTGGGGCATTTTTAACCCAGAACAACAGAATATATAAGTTGTTTACAAATCGCTGAATTTAGTATAGTGATTTAGCTGTCTTTTTAGCATTTCAGTTAACAGATGTATCAAATTAAAACAAATATTTGCTCCTTTCAAACATATTTTGCATTTAATGTGAAATGTAAATGACGACATAGCACAAGATGTCTTTGGAGCTCTTGAGGCAATAAAAAAACAATTAAGGATTTTCCCCCCTCATTGTTAAAAATGCTAACTTCTGCACAACAGAAGCAAAATTCATAAATCTACCCAAGATGAGAGAGTCTATGTAGAAAATATTAATTTCCCCTTCTGCACTTTTGCAATTGTGCCTCAGTCTGGTCGAGGTGCTGGGCTGGGCAGATCATGAAAACAAATTGGGAAATCAGGGAGAGAAAGAGGGGCGGGGGCGCCTCCCGGTTCTCAAGCAGTTTGCAGGAAAAACGATAGTAATGTAGAAGAGCACATTCTGAGAAACGTGAGTGTCTCTTGCCTCTTGTCAGCTCAGTGAGAAACCAGTAGGAGGCATATTTCCTTTTGGATGGTTACAGCAAATATGGCCGTGGTAATACTTGCCTGATGCCAAAGAGAGTTTGTTAGTCTGGAGAAGAAGAACTCCTGCATTTGGCTCTTTATTCCTTGGATGTTCAGAATATGCAACAGAAACCTTCTTTTCCAAAGGTTTTCCCAGACCTTCCGTTTTATCTTTTTGGCCCTCACTTGGAGTTATTGACACCGTGCGTCCCATCTGGGTCCTCGAACTCACCAAGTTTGCATCTGTTGCACACCTGGCTTACTGTCCAATGTCACCCACTCGAAGTGGAACAACAGAGAAGTTTGAAAGAAGTGTAGTTTTAATTGGTAACTTTCAAGAGCTTAAGGTGGTTGGGACTCAGTTATACTTACCTCCTAGAAAAAAAAAGTTCTATAGATAATCATGAAATTACAAAATTACAGAAATATCATACAAGGTTCAGAACTCTATAATAATGACACGCCTTTGTATTCTGATTTGCTCTCCTGAGTCAGGGAAAGGGGAATTGAGTGTAGGGGCAGGAATTGCAATGTAAACTTGGGTTACTCGTGGGAGAATGTCTTGAATATGGATATCATCCATCATGTGTATCTGGGTGGAAAAAAGACGAAGAGTTGCTGCTATAATGGACTGCTCTAAAAAGAAGGTTGATGTGTATTTAGGTATGTGTGGGGTGCCCAGGGAGAAGAAGAGAAAATGAGCTGAGAATTGCGTCCTCTGGGTTTCATGTCTCCTGGGTGTGCAAGTCAGAAAGGAGGGGCTGAGGAGGAGCAGCTGCGATGGTGACTGTAGGTCCTCTTTACCTGAGGACAGTTACTACCTAAAAAGAACTGTTAAAGTTAATTCCTTAGAACTGAGTCCCAAATTTCATTTGGAAAGAGGTCTGATTGGGACTTCATCATGAAAAACGAAAGGGCAATTCCTGAAAAGAAATTTGCCTTCTATTTTATGAAACGTAGCTTATAATTTTATGTTAATTCTCGTAATAATTTTTCCAGAATGATACAAGTGCGTTTTTTGAGGGCATAATTTTTCTGACAAAATTACGTGATTGTCTTTGTGTTTGATTTTCTCAGCAAGATGGTAAAGAGGGCTTTCTTCCAAGGGCTTCTCCAAATTCTTTGCTATTCAAATCACCCTCATTGAAGAGCCTCTCCTGGCATCATTCTTGTCAATTTTCCATTCTTTCAGGATTAACTGGTCTAATTTGGCCAGACCTTCATTTGTTAGTAACTTGCCATGTGATTCGTGTTTCTCTAGCTCCCCTGTCTCGACTTCATGAAATTCTGCCCCGTGTGTGCAGACCATTCCTGCAAAATATAAGTAATTGAAAAATCAATCCCTATACCCTAGTGTATATCAACTGATTACATGAAAATGGAGGCCTTAAGATGGTTCTAAGATGCCAAATGAATTTTAAATACAGTTGACCCTTGAACAACAGGGGTGTGAACTGTGTGGGTCCACTACAATGTCTGTGTGTGTGTGTGTGTGTGTGTGTTTTCGGTAAATACGGGACAGTACCATAAGTGTATTTTCTCTTATGATTTTCTGAATGGTGTTTCCTTTTCTCTAGCTTATTTTATTGTAAGAATACAGTATATAATGCATATAATATATAAAATGTGGGTTAATCATCTGGTTGTTTTTGGTAAGCCTTCTGGAAAAAACTAGGCTATTAGTAGTTTAGTTTTGGGAGAGTCAAAAGTTGAATGCCCTTCAACAGATGAATGGATAAAGAAGATGTGGTCCATATATACAATGGAATATTACGCAGCCATCAGAAGGATGAATACCCAACTTTTGCATCAACATGGACGGAACTATAGATTATGCTAAGTGAAATAAGTCAAGCAGAGAAAGGCAGTTATCTATGGTTTCACTTATATGTAGAACATAAGGAATAGCAAGGAGAGGGAGAAGGAAGGGAAAAATGAAGGGGTGGAAATCGAGGGGAAACGAACCATGAAAGACTACGGACTCCTGGAATCAAACTGAGGGTTTTAGAGGGGAGGAGGGTAAGGGGGTAGGTGAAGCTGGTGATGGGTATTAAGGAGGGCATGTATTGAATGGAGCACTGGGTGTTATATGTAAAACAATGAATCATGGAACACTACATCAAAAACTAATGATATACTACTGTATGGTGACTAATATCACATAATATAAATAAATATGCTTTAAAAAAAGTTGAATGCAGCTCTCTGAGAGCATAAGGGTTGGCGTTCTTAACCTCTTTAGGGGTC